AGCGAAGAAAAACGGTTGTGATTAAGATTATGAAGGTGACTGCTTAAACTCAAGATCTATGAAGGTCTTCCTCGTCTACCGATGAATATTACCAGACACAGAATGAACGAACCTGTACTGAGATTGCCAGCCATCTCTAAGTGCACGGCTGGGGTCTGTAAGCACTTGAACACGCAACCGTATTTCTTTTCCGAACGACGACCCTTGCGAATAAACAGAGGTCCAAAATAATTAACTCCTACTAAATTAAAATAGTATCAACCCTTTTGGACCCTACATAGCAACAGAGGAACCACTATCTGCTGACTAAAGAAGCTACTATTTTCCGACATTTTATGCACAGACCTATTACTCGTTTCACTGCTCTGATCCCCTTGACAATCCAATATTTTTCACGGATCGCTGATAAAACGTGCGACGTACCACTATGTCCTTCTCTGCTATGCTTGTGGCAAATAATCAGATCAGTCACATAATGTGCATTGGGTAGGATCACCGGATAATTGAAATGGGACGAATATTTTGTGTACCTAAGTCACCCACCGACACAAAGCAAGCCACCTATCATAAATGGACAAAGCTTCCTCCAAGAATGCACCATGTCTCCATTTTCTGCTTCTTGGAGTTTTGCCTGTAATGTTGATTCACGGAATGTTTCGTTCTGCACTATTCTTAAAATCTTCAATCAAGCTGCGTAGATTACTTCGACCGAGAGGTTTTCTACGCTCAAGGTACTTTCATTTCTCGAAGAACACATAATTCTAGTGAAAGAGATCAAACGAATGATCCATGCAACTGACTTTAAAAGTTTTGACCATTGAGAGTAACGATGAAGAAGCCGTTCAAGTTTTATCGAGAAAATAGCTGTGTTCACGCGTGCTACAATTCTCTTCATTTCCACGCCATCCGGTGGGTACGATAACGGAGATAATCCTCTGTAAGAACATGGGCCCCTGCAACCATGTCTCTAGTTCTCTTTTTGTTGATATACCTCTCGAAGTAATGTCAGCAATATTTTGTTCTGACCGGATTTGACGCCATTTGGACACCGTGGAGTACTGATGGATGAATGCTAACCGACTGGCAACGAACGTACTAAAACGTGGGGAAGTATTTTCTATATAATATTTGACGATCATTGAATCTGTCCAGTACCACACCTCGCTGAACATCTCCGATATAGCCCTTTTTATCAACTCTCCTATTTTGATTCCGAGGACTGCCCCAGACAGTTCCAGTCGCGGTATGGTTATGGGTTTGATAAGTGCCACTCGAAACTCACTGAACCGCAAAGCGCTGTAAACCGGTTTTCTTGCTTGAACGCACCACGCGTAGGCGACGGCCCCATAACCTTTCTCGGATGCATCACAGAAAACATTCAGCTCTGTTCTTCCTCTTTTTCCCCACTCTTCGTTTTTTAGACGTTTTTGGGATCTTAATCACTTCTAGACACCTAACAAAGCGCACCCAGCCGTCCCAGATGCTGGCATCTTCGGCACTGAGGGTCTCAACCTATTTTTGCAACAATTGCTTTGCTGGAGGGCCCAGAGGGGCTGCCAGACCTAGCGGGTAGAACCAAAAACTGAAGCTGGATAATATACCTCTTCTTGTCACCCGCTCATCTAGTAACTAAAACTGGAATGTAAAAACATCCTTTGTTGTGTCCCACTACACGCCCAAAGCTCTCTGACAACTGAGATTAAATTGAGGCAGTTGAACCAGGTTGGTACTCGTGCAGTCTTCAGAGAGGGATTTTGCAAGTTAGGGTGAATTAGATGACCACCTTCGCAGTTTAAAACCATCTCTTCCAAATAGTTCGGTTATTTCCTTCGCAACACGTAAGGCTTCATCGCATGTCGTGAACGATGCAAGACACTCATCAACGTAGAAGTTTTCTTCTATGGATTTTAGTAGCGCACGCCAATAACCACTACCGAATCCTCGTGTAGCCCTTTTCAAGGCAAAGTTAGCAGAACATGGTAAAGAAGTTGCACCAAACGGGTGAGCTGCCATTTTATATCCAACGGGTTCCTTCAGTGCGTCACCCTGTAGCCACCAGAGAGACCTCAAAGCGCTTCTATCATGTTTTGGCACCTTCATTTACATAAACATTTCTTCTATGTCAGCTGTAACGGCTACACGTTGCTTACGGAATCGCAAAAGTATACCCACTAAATTCGCGGTGGTGTCTGGACCTTGAAAGGGCATATCATTCAACGATTGCCCCATGTGTTTGGCCGCATAGTCCAAAACTGTACGCAGCTTTTCCGGCTTTTTTGGGTTCAGTACTGCATGTTGAGGCAGGTACCAATGCGGATGAAAGTTGCAGTGTAACTGTTCCCCTGGGACTGGCACGGTATATCCCTTCTCTATAGTCCTCTTCATCGTCTGTGCGTAACGGCACCGTAGCGCTTCATCATTCAAATAGCTCCACTTCAAGCTGTTTAACCTCGAGAGAGCTGATGCTTACTTTCTCACACCGGTATTGACACCCTTCTTCCATGGCAGAGGAACCACAGAGTGCCCATTGAGGAACATTGTACCGGACTCTACAATAGCCATGGCCTCCGTATAGTCCACGGAAATGACTTGATCTAATGACTGAATTGTACATTCGAATTGATTGATGCACTTGAGTCTACTGCAACCAAGCAGTCGACCGATTTCAATTCATGCGAAGCGAAACTTGAAGGTCCGAAAATCACCCAACCTAACAGCTTCCGAATTGCATAAGGACTCGTTCGACCGCCGAGCCTTTGGTCGAGTACCCAATGCGCCTCCGGTATGTCGCACCCAATCAATAGCAGAACTTCTCCATCAGTGTACTCCACCGGAAGGTCTGCCAAATGGGGCCATGCTTCATTCTTTCAGAACTGTCTCTAACCGGCTTATGAATGGGTAATTCTGTTATGACAACAATTTGTTCCACACACACTGAATCCGTTTCACTTAGAGGCAGTACCTGAAAAGTACCACTGACCAAGTTTGCCTCGGTTGATCCACTCAGTGTAGTTATCTTTGAATGGTTTCTTTGTTGGTTTAGCCCGAATTGGAGTAGTGCACCTGCCCTAATAAGTTTTGCATCTGATCCATTATCTAGTATGGCATACCCAATAATCTCTTTTAATCCAGCTCTTGTTTTGACCGGTAATAATCCTAGGTTCAAATTATCGGTCCAAAGTCTGGTTGCTCCGCAGTGACCTTCGCCGATTGGTTCATACTGTGTGCTTAGGACTCTCTTGACGATGTGAAGTAACTTGTGATGTCTACCTCCGCAACCACTCACGTCGCAAGTGGTCTTATTACTGCAGTCATTCACTCGATGGCTTCCTATGAAACGTATAAAACATAAACCGTATCTTCGTGCCTTTTCTCGTCTTTCCTGGGTATTCAACTCCGAAAAACTCGAAAAAGATAAAACCAGATGGTTTTCAGCACAAATCACACATCGTTGTGTGCGTAGATCGTTAATATTCTTGACCAAATTTACACCATCGTTTAATGAAGGTTGACGCTTACTCGGAGGTTGCATTAAATGAACGGGTCTATTAATTCTGCTTTGGTTAGCAAGTTATCTAAAGCGACTCCTTGCTACTCTAGCCAGTGCAGATATGATTTCTGTCAGTTCGTTAAACTTTGGCTCCCTGTCGTTTTGAGTAATCCGATCTACTGTCTCTGCCCATTTATACGGCAACTCCTTAACTATTTGATCCCGATGAAAACTTAAACGTGTACTGGGCAGTGGTGGCCAAATTGTGACCTCGGAGTCCCGGGTTCAGGTCAGGTCAGGTTGCACAGGACTGATGGTGGCCACAGGCCAATCACGCGTCCAGAATTCCTTCGGTGGTATGCCCTCGAGTGTGCGTCCACCTATGCGATTGATCGGTTTCTCCNAGAGAAAGGGAGACTTTACTTCTCGCCGTGTCGGCGAGAGACCTTTGTTGTTGAAGCATTCCACATTACGCAATAGCAATTTACTTACCTAACATTCTATATCAGGGAAAAGCTCCAACCATCTGGCGTCCAGAGCTTTTTTAAAGGCCTGGACACTTGACTGCATAATCANCCTATTAATAAAGAAATGTGCTCGTAAGTTCAGCCTAGAACGCTGTTTCATGAGTTTGAGCTCATGTCCACGCGTTACTTGGTGAGACGCCTCAGTGAAGAAAGACTCAGGATCTAGACCGAGCAAATTTTTCTTAATCTTGAATACTTCGATGAGGTCTCCGCGCAATCTCCTTTTTCTAGTGAAAAAAGACCGAGCGCGTACAACCTTTCTTTGTATGTTTTTCCCCGCATACCCTCAACCATCCGTGTTACCAGTCTCTGAACCTGCTCCAGACAGGCGGCGTCCTTTTTGTAGAAGGACGACCAAGCCTGCACACAGTATTCTAGGTGAGGCCTTACGATGGCTTTGTAGATGGGTATAAATACATCTGCTGTTCCACACGAAACTGCTGATTTTAGTCGAAACAGTTGTCGTCTTGCCGTGTGTGCCGCAGCTTCACATTGGGTACCCCTACTGTAATCTGCAGTTACTATGACTCCTAGATCCCTGGCTCTGGTTACAGTGCCTACTTCGAATTGCCCTTTAGTCACCTAGAGCCTTCAATGGTTCCAGGGTTCTTGAGAGCAACTGGCTCTTTGTTGCATTTAGTGGCAGATCTCATGTGTGGGACCACTGGAACACCTTCGTAATATCCTCTTCCAATTGTGATCTTTCACTTGAACCAACCACCTTCGAAGCGCTCCACCGCCGCCCATTTTCCCAGGCGGCCTTTCTCTGGCCGCGACCCCACTTCCTGAATGTTTACTGCACGCTTGTGTATTCAATAAATGAAAAAGGAGTTGAAAATACGTTTATTTATTTACTCTGAGTAACCATCAGTAGTGTGTTTTTCTTTTCCAGAATCGTACCCACTTACATTTACGTGAACTATATAACACAATTGTCGTAGAGCAGTGGTGCTCCCAAGATCATTGGTGCAAGAAACTGGACTGCTTCTGGCTCCACCACAAGTCCTCGGACCTGTCCTGTGCTTGTTTAGGTTACTAGAAATGCTGTTGATCTGAAGGTCAAATAAACGACATATATTCAAAATATCCTTATGTCCATCGGGAACCAAGAATTTTAATAACGATATTCGGGATGTTCATCCCAGAAAGAAAAAACAGTCACTCTCGTGATACGCAAGCTAATTTAGTGGGTCTGGATTTTTCAGCAGACGACGGAGCTGATTCCGCATCAAGAGAATGGATTTATTCACGATGGGCAAAGTATGTATTCAGTGGAAAACACCAGTTTCTTTTGGTTATGTAATGTAAAATAAATAATCACATGAATCATCTATTTGAGTTTTTCCAGGATCAAGTTTCATATTCTAGAAAGATAAAGTCATGGCACACTATATTCTCATTCCTGCACTTTTCTATAGCTTTCCTATACTCCTGCCACCAAAAGATGGATCACGTTTAACGCTCTATAAAGAAACAATAATGGAACTCAAATCCTATTCCATGGAGAGTTTTACGGAGTTGATCAAGGTCGACGATCGTGGTACCAACTGGGACCTGCAGATCCCATTTACCATGGCGGCGTGCCATATGGCACGTATGCGTGCTGCTATTGTTGGCTAATAGCGCCCTAATAGCCGGTCACAACTGAGTCACAAAGTAGCTACGGCTGTAATATTGTAGGGCATATTTATCTCACTAGTTGGCTATAGCGCGGTATTATACTAACGCGCTAATATCCTGACAGCACAAGGAAATTTTATTATCCCCAGAACATCCCATTAGTTTGGCTATAGCCAATTACAATAAGTTACAGTTTGGAACGTCCCGCCTTTTGTATTTTGCCTTGTCCCGTCCTCAGTTGCCTTTAGACCCCATATTTTCACAGGGTTAAACTATCTCGCCAGGGACTTCAGCACATTTTGCGCTTTGATTGGAACGCACAAATCTGCAAATAGACCATAACCAGTCTTGATGAGCTTCTCAAAGGGTCTCATAACTTGCAAACAACCAAGTTACTACTGGTGAAACCAGAAGATTTATGGTTGTGGCAGATGTATATTGATGTACCGTGGCATGTATCGGTACGCGCGAACGCAAATTTACGTTAAGGTGCGATGACAATACAGAACAGCGCGCAAATGAATTGGAAGCAAAAAGTAAAATGCTCCACACGGAAGGATGCATTAGTTAGCAATCATGTAAAACAGATGTCACACTACATTGATACCGTGATAAAACTCTGTGACTGTGGAGGAAAAGTGATATCATGCAAGTGTCTAATATTCTCCGGATTTCACCGTACAGTCGTTTACACTAGAAATCACTCCTCCCACTGCATTATGTGTAACTTGCTATTCTTTACCACTTTATGCAAGCCTCTACTGTACTCAGATGTATTGATGCAGACATTTCGAGTGACATAGAAGACAATTTGAATATTGAACAATTTTATAAAAGCACTGAAGAAGTTAACTTTTTCAACGAAGTACTTTCTTCTCAACATTTTCGGGCAAAAATTATGGTCGCTGTCTTTTGAATCATGGTGGTATTTCTCGTTCGCTAAAATTCACTGAAACGTCGGCAAATCTAGGGTTAGTCTGAGCGGCACTTGATCCCCTACTGCATATCTTATTATGGTAATTCACCCACGATAACTTTGATGAACAAACTACCAGAATTTTACATTTTTCCATGTTTCCCGCTGTAATATTTTAGAAAAGCTAATTAATCGTGCAGCTCTGTGGAGATAGCACGTTTCACTATGTGATCCAAGACTCTTTCACTCAACGGCATGATTTACTTCACCTAAAAACTAAATAGAAAATACCTTGAAGCTACATGTTTTGGACTAAATATGTCGCAATGAGAAGCCAGTTCAGTGTGAACGTACAAACCAGCGCCAATGTTATTCCTTCTGCAACCTTTTGGCGAGCCAAATAATGTCTGTAGATCATAATGGATCTCTGAACAATATTTTCAAAGCGCTCTCAACCACAATAAACAACGAAACATGCTTATGTGTTTCAATGATACATTGTCTAACGACATGTTAATACTTCATGTATTTTGTTTCAAGGTGCAATTTCTCGCCACCAGTAGTAGAAAATGTCGAATGAAGAGAACTAGACGTACCAGCAGTTGTGCATATCTCTAATACTACAATGAACAACTTCCATGAACATCCGGGCGTTGAATGTACATTTGAAGTTATGCGTAGGAATGGATTTACACCGACTGGGCAGTCCTTCAGAACTGAGAAGTACACGTTTAAAGAAATAAATTATGAGTAAAGTGATTGTTTCGTAATACAATTAGCACATGATCTTGAACACCGTTTTTGTTCATAACAACTCACAGCATAAAAGGTA